GGAAGCGGTACATACACATTTACTTCGAACGCGACCTCTCGAGTGATGCGCGCGGAACATACGGCATACAGCCGCGGGCGCAGATTGTGCTCCGGAGGCAGCACCGACACGCCGCGTGCGGTCATACGAGCTGCCGGCCGGAACAATCGCGTGGGAGGGTGTCGAGCTCCGAGTCGGTGGAGGCGTCTGAATCGGTTGGAACATAGTTGACGGCGGCGAGCTGCGCAGACATCGACATTAGCGTAAGAGTACCGCGCGGGCGAATCCGACTTGCCTATGCCACGGCGCTCCGAGTCCCGTAGCCGTGCACGGGACACTCGTGCTCGCCCGAGAGTCTGCGAGCAGCGGAAGGACGAAGACGTCCGCACAAAGGGCCCAGAGAGACCTAGAATGTCCTTTTTGCTCGTCCCAGACGAGACGAGTGTGCACAAGGAACCCGTTCGCGCAAAGGAACTCTGCTCGCCCGCGGCTAGAGGACTTCGCGGCTATGGGCGCTTATTCCGACGCAATGCGAAATACGCAAGTCGTGCGCCGACGTGGCATGGCTCTTCTCCGCCCCACGTCCGCCGTTCCTGCTCGCCCATTTCTCTCGTTTGAATGCCCTCTGTCCTGTTCTCAAACCCGAGAACACAATCTGCAAGGCCTGCTCGGTTAGCGGGAAGGCCAAATCTGCAAAAATAAGTCGCTACGTACTCTGGCTCGTTCGTTCTCGCGCGCGAGCCGCATGAGAGTTCTCCTCCCACGGAAATGCCCCTGAACGCGAGATACGGGTTCACATCCGTTCTCTGCCGTCCAGAATGGGACAGCGGGTGGGCAGGCATCGAAGGAGTCGTCTGGCCGCTTCAAGACGGCCAGACGCGGTACTGTAGAGACAATTCGAGGTTAGCAAGAACGTCGCTAAACGCAAACGGCGGCCAGACGCACCGCGAGACAACTTCGCCTTCCGGAGGTCCGTGGGCGCCTATTTGGACGTAGCTCGAAACTTCACAGTCCCGCGCCGCCGTTCCTCTTATCTCCTCGCTGACACGGGCCGGTGGGGTATGTCCGCGTTGTAGAGCGCACTCCGGGGATGTTGGCGCCTCCTCTGCAGCCCTGCGAGGGCCGTGTCGTGTGCCGCCGCCCGGGTCGAGCGCGTGGGCAATTAGAGAAAGTTAGACTGTGCAAACACAGCGGTCAGCGGATGATTTCACATCAAAGCCGCAGCTCACCTATTTGCGCACTCGGGAAGCTCGTGGTCGTCTGATACGCCGGCTGCGACGAGTACTGCACGCTGAAGGAGAGCGCAGGGAGACGCCCATGCAGAGGGCGCAAATCCGGCGCAAATCCTCCATGGACAGCGCACCAGCCCATTACGGGGTTGCACAAGGGGTGATACGAGCGCAGAGGAGCTTTGCTCGCCGATGAAACGATTTCGCGGAGTCGCGGGTACGGGCGCCTATTACGCCGCCGCCGGAAATTGAGGAACCTTGACGTCGACGCGTCGCGGCTTCACTCTGCTCCACCTCCTCTGCCCGCGCGCGCGTCGTATTTCTGATCTTCCGGCTCAATCCTTCTGGCGCCGGCGTTGAATGCATGATCTGCAAGGCCAGGCTGGTCAGCGGGGACGTCAAGCCTGCAAAAAGAGAACGGTGCGTACTCCGGATCGTTCGGGTGAACGCTCGTCTCCAGGTAGCATGACACGTGGCGACGTGCGCCCGAGGCGGGTGGCTGCACCGCTAGAGTGTTTGCCGGCATCTAGGGAGTTTCCCTGCTTCGTTACGGCCGAGATAATACTAAAAAGAAGGTCATATGTGAGTGAACCCCTTCGCAGACGCAAACAGCGGCCACACGCACCGCGACGCGACTTCGCGCTTCCAGAGGTAAGCGGGCGCGTATTTGGACGTAGCTCGAAACTGGCAAGTCTCGCGCCGCTGTCCTTTCACTGCTACTAGTCGCTTGCTGGGGCTCGGTCTGAAACTCGCCTCACGCCGCAGTTCTGGGCCGCGAGTGAGAAACAAGACCACCACCCGCACGCGAGCTGCAGTGCCCGGTCCGTAATCTGCAACCCCGAAATAAGTCAGTTATCCGAGGGATTCAAAGGTAAGAGGGAGAACGGTACGTACCATGTTTGTTTGGTGCCCGCAGGACAGTCAAAAAGCCCACTGAGGTACAATCCGGCCGAGCAACGCGTGCTCGTGTCCATCGTGGGCGCTCTGGGTACCGGTAGGACTTGAGGCTTCGCCTGTACCGCGAGAATGCGAGCGTGAGTTTGTCAAGCGGCTGCGAGTCTTTGCAAGATAGAGTAGACGAGCAAATAGGCTGACTCGTCGAGTGGGAACGGCCGTGAACAAGGCCAAGTGAGGCAGTGCCCGACAGCCGCGGACGCACTTCGCGAGATCGGCTCTTATCTGAGCGCCCGCGCGATCGAGCAGCCACTTCCGCGCGATCTCTTCGTTCTGTTCCACGACCGTCTCCAGCCTTCCTCCGTCCTCGCGCTGCGCATATCTGCGGACAGTTGCAACGATGACAACAGACGTCTACGGCGGCACACAAATCAACTAAGCACTCGTGCGCGTGCACAACAATCACAGTACGTACCAAGTCATCAAATTCATCTACGAGACGCCGACATGTCCGCCCGCCTCGCGCCCTCGATTGCTAGGCTCGGACCAGCTATGGAACATCCGCGATGGATGCAGATGATTCAAGCGCCACCGGGAAATGGTATTGCACCTCCAACCTGCCTCGCGTCGACATCACAGGGACGACTCGCAGGCGCGAGACCGACAAGGTGAGCGGTGTGGTTTCTCGTGTTGTGGCACAGACTTGGGCGCATCTGCTGGCGGCGGGTTTGCTGGCGGCGGACACCTCCGGCGCGGCCGCGAGGAACGGATCGCTTGTACGAGTGGTCTACGGATCGTTGTATCAGTATACACTTTGCCGCGCACGACCAGTAAGAGATGTACCTTTCAACAGCCTGCAAAGCGCGCCAGAGATGCACACGGTGCTGTCCAGCTGCCGGAGGCGTGTACCGTCGTGGATGGATGGCGCGAGACGTGTCGGGAGGGCATGCCCGAGCTTGTTCGCCATACCATAATGTCCAGCAGGATGTGGTATGCTGAGGAGAGCGTCCACTACGGCGAGCACAGACAGCACGCGGTGTGCTACCTCGCTGTCATCCCCTGTCCTCCGTGCAGTGCATTCGGGCCTCCTCGACAACCTGTCGAGCCGTTGGCAGCTGCGCTGAGGACAGGAGTGCATGCGCCGCTGGACAAGCAACAACACTGAAGTTGTGTTTGCCTCATTGCACTCCTGGGCGTCCCTGGCTGGTGAATTGCTGCATGCAAGACCACGGTGCACACAGCACAGCTGACATGGCGGGTATACCACACGGGCGCACATCTCGTGAGTACTGCTGTCTTGTCCAGAATGCAAGCCCATGTACTCACCTTGCTTGCTTCATGCTCTGAAATTCGAGTGGCCTTCTTGCGGGCGATAGGGTGCGTCCAGGGATCGGATGAGCGCGCAGAGGATGGAAGGGCGATGCAGGGACACTAGCGGTGGTGGGAGGGAAGAGAGGGGAAGGAAAGGAGGATGCGCACAGGCGAGATCTCAGGACACTGCGAGGGCAGGTCGGTAAGTTGAACGAGGCGTGGCGGGCATGGGTCCAGCCCTGGTGCGGACAGAGCGGGCAACTCGGATGCAAAGATCTCGAGCTGTGCCGCGTGCGGAGCCGTGCGAGCGTTGTGAAGCAGCGGGTGTTTCGGGGGTTGTCCGGTTTGATGCTCGCCTGTACGTAGCTGTATTTTTCCGTATGCCGCACCAATAGGATTTCTGGGTTCGTGGATATGGCATGATTGGGCATCTGGTTGCCCAGGGAGTGTCTTCAATTTTTGGGCTTTTACGTTCTGATGCACACAAATTTGACCATGGCTCTGGGCCCACGGCCATGGTAGTCACACAGATGCACTCCGGCAAGCTACTCAGGGCCCGCCTGCATCTCCGCACACTCTCACTTTCCCAGAAATGGAAGGACCAGGAAGACCAGAGTGTGCAGCACTATACTGCTCACTCTCCTTTTCCTGACCTCGTCCACTTCTGCATTTCACGTCCTACAATATGTTGGGGCCCAAATTGATAGAAAATAACTTGTGGTACAATATCATGAAAGCAAATGCAATGGCTCGCCCACACGAAGGTTCGCAATGCCCTTGCAGATCTCAGATATGATTCCGATCTTGCCGGCGCTACGCTCGCTTGACCCTGCAGTCGAGATTCGCGGAGATGTCACCAGCGCGCTAATTGCGGGCTGATACTGAACGCCCTGCAGATTGTACTATGAAATTATCGAGCAGGTCGCGGCCGTGGAGAGAGCGCAAGACGGAATGCGAGCGCAACGTCCGGGAGAGCCTTGAGCGTGGCCACCTGCCTGCCTTTTTGGGTAAGAAGGAATAGAGCCGCCCAATGTGCACGCGGCCGTCACTGCTCCCTCGTCTTCATCTCCTCCGTATGAGTCCGCCTCTTCGCTTATGCGCCATACAATATTGGTCTATATCTGTTTGCATCTCAAACTGTCTAAGTACGCGAACTCGAAGCGCTGCACGCGCCTGTCACAAGTTGCGGACCCACGTTCTCGGATCGGTCGCCAGCATCCGAGTCTTCGCGCGCGGCGATCCGACATCCCTCCAAAGCGCCCCCTGGTAGCCTCGGCAGCACATTCAAAGCAGGATATCCTATCATATATGTAGCATACTATGTGAGCTCTGAGAGCAGGCTTTTTGATTCTATGGGCATGGTTTGGGTATTACACTCATGAGTTTTGAGGTCCTCCGAAACTCGGGGGCTCGGGGGCTCGGAAGGCTAACAAGTCTTCCGGTGTTAAGGATCCACATGCGCTGCTGAGCGTTCCCTCCTGCGAATAGACAAAATTTGATTGCGTTTGAAATCTGGTAACATCAGCGAGTCGCGTAGGGCTTCGCAGTCGTGAAGGGAACAAGATCTGTAGGCAGGCGCGTACTGCGCTTCTCCGAGCATATTCAATCCCACCGGTATGCATTATCTCACTTCTTGTGAGTCCCTCTGACTTCGTGTATTGCTCGCAAGTACGCATTTGGGTACTACTAGCCACGCGCACTTAGTATGTCACGCCGATATATTTCTGGTGCACGCGGATATGCCGCTAGTCTCGTCTGAAGTGGACTCGAACGACCCTTACTTGACTATCTTGATTCATGTTCGCAGTGTCTCCAGTCTCCAAGCGACGTGCTCACACCCATTCGTAAGTTATCTCCGAAGCTGCAGGGCCCACGTTTCGCATTCATGACCTTTACCAGTGATTCCAGCTACTACCAAATATCTGGGTCGAGTGGAGAGCCCGACACCACGTCCATGAAGCTCGCAATGACATGTACGTTCTCGCATCGCATGCCCATACTCGACTCGCTGAAATCGCCTGACTGTCTCTAGATCCAAATTCGCATTCCACGCGTGTAATCCCTGTGCAAGCATGCCATGTCCAGGAACAGGCGAGCTGGACGGCATGGACGGCATGGACTGGGGCGAGCTCGTGTTCTCGCATGCTCATTGATAAATGGTGAGCTATAGGGTCAAAGTGTTGAGCCGTGCGTCTGGGTACAATACGAGCATAGGTAAATATATTTCTTGAAGGTGTACGAGAGATACGTGTG